ACCTTTAATGCCAAACTTTTTTCCGCCTCGCTTCAACTATCGTGAGCATGCCTGTGCACGTGAACAGCTCAGCTTTTGTTTGTCCGTGCACAGTGCACAGTGATGCTGGTGGTGGAGGAGGTCTGAGCCTCTGAAGCATGTGTTTGTTTGGCTTTTAAATAATTACTGTTAATGTTCTTTAATTATTCGCTTGGCTCCAGGTTGGTGTCATCGCTGCACGGAGGTGCCGACCACCACCAGACGTTTGTGCCCCAGAGCAGGTGGAAAATGAACCAAAACAAATGTGTGCACGACTGTTGACGTCCTGTTTACCCTTAACTTTAGCACAGTGCTGCTAACCGGGGCTAATCTCTGACAGAAACTGACTCTGCAGCACAGTGGATGTGTTCCACTCAGTGGGCTGGACCCCACAGTTTGGACAGCCCATGGTTGTAGACTGTGAGGATATTTGTGAGTTGCCCACCAGGTGCAGCCTATAAGTTGGTCACAGTAGCTGACATAATCCAGACTGTGGGCTGCAGCCCAGGCCGTCTACACAGTCAGTCCACGAGGTCTTTAAACTACAAAAGTTTAGGCCACGACTATTGAAATGCTGTGTGTAAATGTTGGCTTGTTAACAATGCTGCTAACTTTAGTCACACTCATTCACAGCCTTTTTTACACTGAAACAGTCACTGTATTTGTAGTTAGAGTGGATAAAATAGTCAGTTCCAGACTGAGCTAACTAGCTCTGTAGCTTGTCGTGTGCATGTCCACAACTCAAACTAAAGTACTTTTTTTCAAATCCAACATAAGATTATGTTTTAGTTTGGGTTTTTTTTTTAGATACAACAGCAGGGAAGAAATGAGCAGTGTAGAAAGTATGGAGAGAGAACGAAGGGAGAGATGAAAGAGCAGAGTCTAATCCTTCTGAAGAACGAACCCTGAGGCCACAGATGGTATTCAGAAAGAAAAGGGGGAAGAAGGAGGAAGTTAAAGAAGAGGAGACAGAGGAGAAGAATGGAGCACGCACGTCAAACAAGCCAAGACACAAATCCCACCTGAGCATCCAAACATCGCCCCACCTCAGCTCCTCACTCACAAAAACCTACTTCTTCTCCTCCAGGGGCTGAAGTTGTATGGTTGGCTAGATTGATAGATAAAAACCACCTCCTTCTCCCTCTCCTCCTCTCCTTCTCCCCCTTCCTTCTACTTGTCCTTCTTTTCATTGGAATAAAGTGTGACAGAGGATTCTGGAGAACAGAACCATGGAATGTTCCCTCTCCACCCTCCTTCTTCTCCTTCTTCTTCTCCTCTCACTCCGCACCTGCCTCCACACCACTAATACCCTTTGTGTTGGGTCGACCTCTGACCTCTGGGGTTCACCGTGACCGATCAATGAACAAACTGTCAGCGTCTACTTCATCAGCGAGACCAGAGAATATGGAAGAAGAAGAAAAAGATGAAGAGGAGGAGGTGGAGTAACGTGATGAACCCAGAGAATCTCCAGAGCAACTGCTCCTCTTCTGGCGTCTTGTTGTGTTAGCTTAGCCATTCGTAAAACACGCACTAATCACTAAAATCCAACGGATCAACGTCAATCATAGTATATAGGACATGTAGCAAAATGTCTAGTAGCTAATGAAGATAATAGCTTTAAAACGTAGAGAAAAAGTTCGAAGAACTATTAGTGCGACGTTAGCTACAGAATCCTAGCTCCTAACCATCATCCTCATTTTCATGTGCGACAGATTTGAACTCCCTTCCTACAAATCTTCCACACCTGTGTCGTCTCACTGCAGCTGGGATGAAAGGATTCCCTTGGATTCCCGTTGGTTTTTCTCAGGGGAAAACCCAGAGTCAAACAGACGCGTGACGTGTTTTTATTTGAGGACTGACTGCAGCGGAAAGGACTAAACAAAATAATTCCATTTAATTCTATATTTTGTCCCATATACTATAAAACTTCTTTGGTCAATTCAGCTGGTATCGCTATCCTTTAGCTAGAAGCTAAATTTGGACCATTTCTGAGCTAACTCTCAGGGACTTTCAAAATAATAAATATTACTTTTTAGCTCTTATGTTGTAAGTTTAGCTATTTCTTCATTTTTGTTTGAACCTCTTGGTTAATCTTAGTTCATCACAAAGACAAAAATGTGTGATGTAAGAAAGCTGTGAGGAATCTGTGGCAGAATGTGCTGACATTCCTTCTGTTTTTAATTTTGTCAGCGTCACTGGAGAAAATGTTTGTGATTGTGAGCTGTCAGAATTAATCAGCAGTGATTTATGGTTTCACCCTCAGAAAAGAACAAAAAGTGCAGCTGATGAAGCTTTTTTGGCAGCACGGAGACGATGGTTAGAGCTTTTAGTATTATGATTATTAATTCATGTTGTGTTCAGCCCGGGAAGATTCTGGAGTGAATGCTGTTAATATTCTGACGTGATGACAGAAATACCTCATCAACATTATCCTTATCATTTCAACTGTTTTTGAAGTTTAAATAAAGTAAACATTTACTTTGTCTGACATTTTATCATTTCAGCTCATTTAAAATGTTTTGGCTACATGTTAGCTTTTGCTAATTGTTTTGTTGGTTTTTTTGCGTTAACTATTTTGGTTTTGCTCACAGCCTCTGTCCTGACTAACTTTAATCTCACCTGAGAGTCGACCAGACCTGGACCTTTGTTTTTGCTGCGTGTGGTTCCTGACCTGACTTTTAAAGATCAACTGTTGTCAATCACTTCAGACATGTCATGGCTTTTCTGAGACAGGTCTGAAGCACGGGATTGATTCCAGGCCTGAAGGCAGAGTTTTTATCTTCTGCTCTGAGTGTCAGACGCAGAGAATCAACAAGAACCTGACGAGATGATTAGAATCATGTCGATGAAGGATTTGGCCGTTTCTACTGCAATATCAAATGATCTTTTTTAAGGATGAAAAGGAAGGCATTTACAAATTAATTTCAAACACAGTCACTTTTTGGCTTGAAGATTAAAACAATTTTAACATGGTAAACCATTTAGCATTTTAATTTTAACAAGGTAAACCATGTTCTAATGGTTAAACTTAACTGATGCCATAAATCTGAACCAAAGCAGGTTTATTGACGAAGTCTGAAGAGAAAATGCCAGAAAAAGGCGGAGGAAGAAAATGAAGCATAAATCAGTCTGAGGTAAAATGTGGAAATAGTGGCTTCAACAGGGTGGAGGTGAGGTGTGTGCATGGGTGAGGAGGGTGGATGTGGGTGAGGGTGTGACTGCTGCTGCAGCAGCAGCCTCAGATCCTGCCTTGATCAGTCTCCTCACCTTCACTGACTCTGGAATGTTGGAGAGGGGAAAAAAAAAAGCACCTGCAGGGAAACCAGACACAGTGGGACATGTTCTGCCAGGCTCCGGTGGAATTTACACTTAACTCAGACGAGAGGAGGTGGAAGAGAACGAGAGGGAAGAGGAGAAGGGAGCAAGGACAGGAGGACAGGAGGACACAGATAAGAGAGGAGAGAATGGGAGACGTAGTGGGACAGGGAGGAGGAGTAAAAGGCAAGGAAACAAAGGAAAGGAGGCAAGGAGGTAGGATATCCAGGGGCAGGAAAGTGGAGAAGAAGATCAAAATGGACAGGATGAAGAGGGAATAAATAAATCAGTCAGGTGGAGGATACGGAAAAGGAGGCAAGGTGACATGGGGGACGAGGAGACAAGGAGGGAACGAGGAAATAAAGAAGGATAGAACCAGATAGGATAAGAAAACAGGACAGTAGGAAAGGAGTTAAAGAAGAGAAGGAGACAAGGAAGCCTGTGATAACAAGGAGGGATGAGGAGGAGAGAAGGCTGGAGGAGAAGTAAAAGATGCAGGCGTGGACTGGTTATTAACCAACAGAACCAAGTGTTCTCCATGAGGAAGAACCAGGACAAGAACGAAACCATTAGAACCTGGACCTGTTTCCCATTAGTCCATTACAACCTGAGACTTACAGAACCATCACACACAGAGGAGAGTGGACCTCCAACACACCCAGACCCTGACCAAACAGGACCAGGACCAGGTCCAGGACCAGTCAATGACCTCACACAGTCTCCACATACACACACTCTAAGTCAACGGCTGTTTAAAAAATCTTCATCTGAAATGGTCCTAAAAGTTTAGTCCTAAATATATAGATATAGAAGTATTTTTTACATATTTTATATTTCCAGGTACAAACACAAATATGTTTGAATATGTATGAGCAGAAAAATGAACAGAAGTGTCAAAACCACCATGGAACGATTCGTGGGCGTGGCTCATTTCCATATAATTGAATATGCACGACGGGGCGTGGCTTGTCATGCAGATGAGCGTGAGCGGGTGGCTCAAATATTCACTGCCTCGAGCTACACTTAGGAGAATATGAATTAAAGGAGGGAAAAAAAGGAACGCTCTGGAAAAGTTTGGAAGGAATGCTGCAGAGTTTCTGAAAGTTTCGTTTTTAGAAAAAGAAAAAACGAAAATCCAGAGATGTGTAAAAAGAACGGATACAGGTACAAATGTGATAACATAACATGACTGTTATCAACAGTAAGTTATAGTAGTAAGTAAATAAACAATCAAAGACTCACTGCACACTCATCAATATAATGAACATGTTTATGTAAATGTAAATAAACAGATAGTTCTTTTTAAAATAGGATTTGGTGGAGGTCAAATCCCATCAGCAGCATCTGTTTGTTGTCATGGGTTCACGTGACCTTTTTAGCATCGCGTTCAATCTGTCACATAAACTCAAACCTACCGGTTGTAGCTCAGTTCAAATGTATATGTGTATATATTTTATAAAAGGACCGTGTCTCAACAACAGCTGCTGCTTGAATTTGCTCTTTTTTTTCCTAATAGGATTTCGCCCATGTCATTCTGGTGATGCGTTCACGTGTTACAGCACCTTCGACCGCATTTAAAAAGGCATTTCTGAGGCAGAAATAAAACGAACATGTGAGCTCCAGACAGTTTGTGTGAGGCAGAAATAAAACGAACATGTGAGACTCACTGCGTGAACAGGTCCGAGCAGCAGAACCGCCACAGCCACCGCACACACACTGTGAGCAGAAGAAAACACAGAAAGAATTAGAAGTGCGTCGAACCAGAACCGACAGCAGCAGCAGCAGCAGCTCCCAGGTTCGGACTAGAAGCAGCACTCAGAACTCAGACTCACAGGACTCTCATTTTTCCGCGTCAGAGTTTGACGCGCTGACGCACAGGTCGAACCTCCGACTCTTCTTCTTCAGCTGCAGGTCTCCTCAAACGCGCTCATCGACGGCTCCAAAAGCCGACCCGGACCTCAAGCTGTGGGTGATCTGAGGAGACAGAGAGAGGCAGAAGGTTCCAGAACACATCTCATCAGCTCAGACTGAAGCTTCGGAGAAGATTTTCTCTGTGAAACTCACCAAAAGTCTGCGCAGCGCTGAAAGGTGGCTGCTGCCGCTGTGCCTCCAGCCTGTGCAGCTTCAGACTGTTCTCCTGCAGCAGCAGCAGCGGGGCTGAGCAGGAGGAGGAGCCTGGGCGTGCGCGTGCCCCGCAAGCGCACACGCACGTTGACAGGTCTGAGCAGAAAGTCAGTCGGGAGGAAATCTGTTCCAGTCCAACTTTGAGGAAGGATTCCTCACCTCAGTCGAACACGAGCGGCTCTTTGGTTGACTCACTGCACTGTTTGATAATAAAACAACAGGTAAACATGCCTGGAGGGTTTGAAATGAGCTCACATATAACAAACAGTTAGCCAACTAGCCTCATTTAACTAGAAATATGGATAATGTATCCAGACCATGGCTAAAAGATAGGTTTCACATGAGCAGGTGTTTAAGTCAACTACAGATAAACCAGAAAAAAAGTAAGCCAATGAAATCTGATAAACTAAAAATAATATATTAATTATTTGAGGTTTGTTAGCGAGTCAGTAGCTTTAGCTTGGCAAATTGACAATTCAATATTAGGCATTTAAAAAGTGCTGAAATGTAGAAAAAAGGGGACTATTTGACTGGTCTGTTAACACTAATCAAAACAACGTTGAAAAAAGTCCTGTTCGGAGTACTAGGGTATTTTCACAGATATCCAGACCAAACCCTGCGGTTGGCCTTCATGTCCAGACAAATGATCAAAGTGAGGACAGGACAAAATCGAGTTCCTTCCATAGCCACTCCTGTTGAATCATCTCTGAAGAACAGCTCCTGGAGAACCACCAAAGGTGAACTTCTCTTAAAGAACCACTCCCTCCTTTATAAAGGAACCCTTCCTGAAGAACCTCTCCTGAGGAACCTCTCCTGAAGAGGTGTGGTACGTGAACCCTCTGGTTCTCATGTCTTTACATCGTCTGCTCACATAAAGACCTCTTTATTTTCTGCTTTATGGAACACACCTCACTCTTTGTCATAAAACAGATCACTTTCCCACATTTCCATGGAGCCAGAATTCCCAATCCCAGCCCTGCTGCTGAAACACTAAACTCAGAGCTGAGAAAACTTCAGAAGTGAAATTAAATCTCAGCTCCCTGTCCTACCTGACCAGCCCATAGAACACTTGCATTCTGGACTATTTTACATTTCACACTGACGGAAAGACTTTTTCCTGAAGCTTAACAAGTCTGTAGCAAAAAAAAGCTAAAGGTTAGCCAGTGGAGGCTAACACTGAGACGACAAGTAACAAAATAAAATTTGAAGGATCTCAGAGAAATGCTGGTCACAGCAGGTTTCAGATGACCAAAAGTGTAGGAGCAATTTTTAAAGGAGCAGTTGGAAAATACTGCAAAAAGGAGCAGGGTGCAATGTAAGAGGGGCGCTGAGCAATGTTAGGGAGGTGCAGGACAGAGAGTGATGATGGTCGGGGGCCACATTTGATTTTCAGAAAAATCAAAAAATTAAAAAACACAAAGACATAATGTTGACTAAAAGAAGAGTGATGACTAAAGCGGTGATGAAGAGACGGGGTGTAAAGGTTAGCACTGACAGCAGAGAACGGCTCAGAGCAGGAGAGGACTTGAGTCTAAAGTTAGTTTAGAATCTTCTAGAGTAAATGAGACTCATCACTGCTGAGAGGTGACAGGAGTCAGCGTCTGGGTTTAACCTTCAACAATCTG